TTATACAAAATAAAACCCTATTGCTTAAAGATTATGAGAAAAAATAATTTAACACTCACGAGTCGATGTGCAGCAGCGGAGCACTTCGTCGATCTATAACACACAAACGTATTGAGATTAAAACAGTGCCCACAAATAAAGTAATTAATATTTATTAAAATATTAAAAAATGATTGTTGACACATTAAATCTTTCATCGTCGTTTAAATAAGTATTTATAAAATGGATATTAAATAGATATTTGTAAAAACGTATTAAGGTTAAAGCCGTGCTCAAATAAAGTAATCAATGTTTATTAAAACATTTAAAAAATAATTGTTAACACTTCAAATCTTTCAGCGTCATTTAAATAAGTATTTATAAAATAGATATTAAATAGATAAAAGACCACTGATGTAAAAATTATTCATGATGGCTATTATATTATTATCATTCCAATAACACGTTAATTTCTATTAAAACGTCTAATTTGCGCAACCAATTTGTGGAAAATCCATCGTACGAATGGATCAATTATTACAAACTTCATTTCAGAACTGTCATACGTGCGCACTTTTTTTCATTGTGATACGCCGCAAATCTAATGAAAGATTTCAATTTAATTAAATAGCGGTTTAAGCGCGCGCGCCCGAGACAAATAGAGTTGCGGTTAGAAATCTTGACGTAATAAAATCCATCATCGAACAACAGCATAAAATAGTTATTACTCACTCCATGATCATTCCGCTGTTATCCGATGACTTCCAGACTTTCTCCTTCTCCCTCCCCTCTCCCCCCTCTGCAGCTTCCATTGTTGCTTCTCGTCTTGATCCGCTTGACGCACCCTCGCTCACATTCACTCGCGAAAATAGCGCCGCGATACGAAATCTCGGCAATTGATATACGACGTTACGTTACGTTCGCGTGGATGATCAATGGCGTTCTTCGCCCATCGATCCCTCACGCCACTTGACTCGCCGTCGCGTCGTGCGACGAGGGTTAAGTTTCCGGTAATATTTCCAAACGTGCGTCGGCGTTCGTTAACGGGAACGTCACGGCGCGGGTCTAAATCGAGTAGCGTGGCATTCGATTAGTAAGCTATTCGCAATCAATGCTGTGTTTCATACCACGACATTTGATATAGTCGCGTGGCGCAAATTCCGCGCTTGTATACATACCGCGTTGAATATTTAATCGAGATGAATGGGCGCGAGCAATCGGTATAATATATCTCAACAGAATGGATTTTCGGCAAAACAATGAGCCTGCGTTTCGTCTCCGGCATTTCGTTACGCCAAATGTTTTTTTCGATTTTAACAATTGTGTATTTGTTCACGCACTATACGCGGGACAGCGCGTCGCCGCGCGCCGTGCGGCCGGTGACTGGCGCGACGGTATAATTGCTCCTGAAGTTGGCACATACTGATACTGCCAACCTCCTCCGCCGAATTTCGGAATCGACTGGCCGCGCTGCGCTAATTTCATGAAATATCGATCGAGAGTCTCGAGCTTCGCGCGCTCGTACTTTATCCGCGTAATTGTTTATTCTCCCGCGTTCGTTCGCCGCGGTGCGAGATTAATGTCGCGGAAGCGCCGCGTAATCGTATAAATAACGAGATTTTCGCGAGTGAAAGTGACTGCGCTGCAAAAGGATGACGGAGCCCGAGAGGAGGAACAGGAGAGGAAAAAGAAAGAGGAGGCATCGCGGGCGCTCGCGTAGCAACCACGGTATAGGGGTGAGTAAACGACTATTTATCAATCGCTTAATAATCGGGTGGCATCGCCGTATTTTCGTCGCGATCACGTTTTAAAAGGTAATGCAATGACACACGTACGGGAACGGCTCTGCCCCGCTCGAGTCTAGCCGAGTGAATGATAGCGCGGGTGACCTTTGTATACACAACGGCGCGTACACTGCGCGAGCCGCGCCCGACGTTGCTACCAAAACAAAACGGTTGACCGAACACTTGGCCTTTGTGTATTGTAGCGTCGCCGGGTAACTGCAGCCCTGGTTTATCGCCCCGAAATGCTCCACGTGTGTATCCATGAAATATTTAACGTCTTACAAAGTGAATTATGTCGAGCATAATTTGCCCATTGCACTTCGAATTCTATCGATTAATAACGTTATGGATGCAAATATTGCGGCACGTCGTCGATGTTATCACATCAATGTATTTGTGAGAGTCGATATACTCTTTTTACTTTTTACAAATTTTTAAATCGCGCCAAATTGCGGATTTTTAATAAATCGGGAAAGCGTGTGAAATTAAATCGTTGCGTGAAAAATGTGACGATTTCTTTCTTTCATTTTCTTCTATTAATGCATAATTTATTACTCTCGACAGAATAAAATATATAGTAAAAATTTGAAAAGAAAATATATGAAACGAAGGAAAACTTTATTTCCTAAAATTTAGAGATTAAACATTAGATTTCATTTATGAACTTTCTAGACAATTAATTTGACTCGCATTGCATCGCGACAATAGATACAGTTTCCGCTTTTATTTTCAAATATATATTAATTAATTTTCTTAAGTAAAATAATTATCAATCATTCAAAAAGGAAATATTTTTTCATTTATAAAGGAATTATTTAATATATAGCAAAATGTATTGAATGTCGATACTCTTTCTCTCCCTATTATCACAAAAAAATTTGATAAAAATTTAATATTATACAAAATTCAGCCGTTTATTTTCGAAAAATCTGGAATCCGTTAGTGTCTCTTTGGTATGATAGCTATCGGCGGTTCTGTTATACCTCACATTCCATTCGTGAAATGTCACGCGAATAGCTACCGTGTCAGTAGCCTAATGCACTCGAAGAATTCATCGTTCCTCAGGAATTTCGTATGTCCCATGTCGTTATACAAGCTTGACCTAGTGCACTAGATATCACAATCAATCACAAATTTCTTGCAACTTTAACGCGTTCTGTATTATAATGAAGTTATTAAATGTGTTAACATTATATGAACACGTTAAAATTTTTAACGCAAAGTTATAACTTATATTTTAACGTACATAGTTAGCGAATTATTTCTCTCTTACGATGGGGAATTTATTAATATAAAATAGGATGGATAAGCGGGAACATATAAAAAAAGTTCACACGTGTGTAGAAAGACATTGCTCATTATTGTTTTGTCATTAGAAACATTATCTGATTAAACTTATGCAATAACTATACACGCATAGATGTACATACATACACAATGATAAGAGTATACATTTTGTGTATTTAAAACTGCAATAACCATTACGCTATTTCACATTGCGATTAATTTCAAGTGCAGTGTCTATCATGTACGTTAATAAAATCGCCCTCGACAAAGTGGAAAACGCTTTTATTTATAATTTATGTATTAGCTAACGTGCAGTCATTTCATGGACGTGAAAGTGGAAAATTTTCTTCAGTGGAAATGTGAAATGCAACATGTGAAAAAGTACATTTACGTATATATATCCTAAAGTCAATGTCCTAAAATTCGTCTATGAAACTTTTTATCAAACAAGCTTGAGCACTCTGTAAATGCCTTGTGCATTGTTGAGCAGCAATCTTATTTCGCTCAACATTGCAAGGAAATTAAAAAAAAAACGTAATTATCTTTAGTTTCTCTTTAAATAACGTGGAAATACAATATCTTGTCTTAGAAATTTATATTAGGTATATATAAATTTTATATATATATAATCGTACATATAAAATTTATATAAATTATTAGATTATGTATAAGTGTATATATATAAAGAGAGTTATATTATGTATTTATATAACATATCGTGTTATTTAAAGACTAAAATAAATAGTTCGACATAATTTTAATTATAAAACGTCTCTCTTCAGTTTTTTACAAATAATATAAAAACAAGAAAATGATTTTTTTCTGATCCCTGTGTTCAATGCGTATTTTTAAAAAGATCAAAAGAAGTTTAATCTATCTCAGTAAAATACAATCATCATAAGAGGAATGTTTTCGTATAGCAATGCCTATGTCTCTGTTGTTATATCTTTCCCTTCGCTATTCGTATTAAATAATGTTTAGCACATATCTTTCACATTTATCTCATATTACAGTCTGTACTTCTTCTCTTCACTTTTCTCCTTATTAAAAGATTTAAAAATCGTCAGATAAATACGTATATTACATATCTAAAACAGAATTGAGATATAACTGCAATTTCTGTGTTAACGTCCATCGTTTTGCTTTCATTGTGTAAAAACGTAAGCAGCAAGACTCAAGTATTAAACAAATCAATCAATTGCAATAAGAAATTCTCGAGATTGCCATTTCTCGCTGCTTTACTTGTTCAAACGACTTAATGTTTAAGTCTTACTATTTATGTTTTCTGTATGTTACGATCTGTACTCGAATTCCAGCTTTAAAAGTATCATTGTCAATTTTGGTCATATTTCGGTACACACTGTACTGAAAATCTATAGAATACGTAACGTAAACTATAGATTTTCAAAACTAGTAGTGTACATAAAATATGGCCTTTAAGTGAACAGCGAATCTCAACAGAAACAAAAACTGAGTTTGTTAACTTGCAATTTATCTTTTTTGTTTCTTGTGTCTGTTTGAAAACGTTCGATTATAGTCGACATGTTGGGCCTGGCACTAGGAATTTGCATTCCTAGTACTATTAAGATTTTTCACAAGACGCTGTCCCCACCATGCCTCCAAATTAAATGGCTCAAAATCTGCAAAAAGATGTGAAATGCAATACATCTTATATATCCTTCATCCACGATACATTTCATAGTAGACATATCCTCTATCCGCAATACATTCCATAGCAGACAAATACAGTTCGATAACTCGAATTTCAAGGCAAGAACTAAAATCTTCGAATTATAGAATTTTTGACCGAAATTCTATATTTATTAGAATTTCGATCGAAATTTTAGTATAAAAGGATTAAAGTAAAATATGAAAATTCGACTTAGGAAGGCATTGTACGACAGTTTACAATTTTCTGATTATAATGGACTTTAAAGAAAAAAAATTCAATATTTGACAATGAATTATTTATTGCATACATAATAAATGTAATGATAAAACAAATACCAAACCGTTATGGTTACACATAGCTACAACTCGAATTATGGCATATAAGAGACAGCGACAATAGAAGTTTGATTTATAGAAGTGAACCTCAACTTATAGAGATCTGTCTTTTAAATTCGAATTGCAGAGATAAAATAATACATTTAAATATCTGACAAATAATTCGAGTTAAAATTTTATTTCGATTTACAAAAATTTTCCACAGTGATGCGGAAGGGAATGAATAAAATTTTCGTCCTACAGAGGTTTTCGAAGTTTTTTATTGGTTCGAGTTATCGCGGGTTTGACTGAAAAAAAAAAAAATAAAAAAAAATAAAATAAAGATTAAAGAAAAAAGGAATAATACAATAAAATGGTATAATAAAACAAAATAACTGAATGTCTCTAAAGAATAGGAAACTAATCTCTCCCATTGCACATATAATTTTCGCAGTAAATTATATAAAGAAATTAAAAGAAAGAAGCAAATAAATTCTCGAGTTTAAATCATGCTTGTATACGTTATTGCTTCTAGATAAGGCATAGAAAGCAAAATGTTTACCTTTCATCTGTGGATTTGGCTCATCTGATGATTGATAGTATGTAACTGATGCTCCGTTTCTATAATTGGAGGAATTACTGTGTGGTTGATTATGACACATATCTAGCTCTCTAGATACGGAATTCCATGCTGAAAAAAAATGGAAGTATAAAAAAAATAAATATCCCTCAAAGAAATATATTTCAGACATTAAATTAAATTGCACACATATTATATACTTACAATCATAGATATACTTGATCAAATCAAAGTGTTGCGCCAGTGTCTCTGGTTGATGTCTACAAGGTATTGAGGAAGGCCTCTTCCCGTTCATCGTAGTCATCTGCGATCTACTGCTACAAATAACAGAATTAAAATAAGCAATTGTTTTAAAGATACATTTCAGTTTTCTTATCTGCGATTACAACTTAACAAAAAAAAATAGCTTGATCCCAACGTAACCTAACCTAATTTAAAACGTATTAAAGTGTCTTAAAAAAAAAAAGTATTAAAGTGTCAACTGTGATGTTGACGTCGGTCACGCATCCGTTTAGAGACATGACGATAATTAACTGGAATTACTGGGTTATCGCGTAGAGTGCGTGGCATATCACAGAAGCATTTCGGAACGATCGACGATCCACACGTATGAATCATAACGATCGAGATACTGACTCCGGTGTCTCCGGTTCGTAATTATCACGCACGTGACTCGATAACTCGCGATAATGTCGCCAAATTCGATGTGGACGCAATGAAAATCACGCGACGACAATGCGGCTTGTTCGTGACAAGTGTTGTAGCACGCGTATCAGAATCTACACATGCACACACGCATACACACACACAAAGCAAGTGTGTCCTACGCTACGGGTTCAGTCATTTTCAAATCGTCGTACAGCATGCCTCGATGAAGTCGATGATACACACATGTAATCCATCAACAATATAGGCGTGACACGATTCTCACACGCGACAATCGTGCATGCACACATGTACGGTGCGTGTATACGGTGTGTGTATACATAACATATGTATACGTGTATATATTATACATATGCAAAAGCCATGCGCGCTATTTAGAGATATATGTAATACCGCATGTATAGACACCCACATAAGCAAGTGATGAAAAAATCTATACATTTGCGAGTGCCCCGCCGAAGATGAGCATTTTCCAGCGAGAAAATCCCTCGCGACGCCACCGAATCTACCGAACCCACGAATTAAATGCCCGTGACGAAGCGAACCAGCGTTTGGGGGGTGAGAAGAAACGTCAGCGCGGGAAAGATGGCGGCTGATAAATGCGGATGCGCTTTCCCGTTCCCGCCCGCGAACGCCGTGCACCCGTTGCGCGATTACTCTCGATTCGCGAGACAGCCGTTCTCGTTACGCTTTCGCGCGATTGACGATCGCGAATGATCCGTAAAAGGAGGAACGCGAGGAAGAGCGCGAGAGAACGCGAGAAGCACTGTACCCGCTCGCTCGGAGACGTGGACGCATAGATACCTCATTTTTCCCAGTTCCGTGTCCCTCCCAGTCTCTCGACAACGATGCGGCTCGATCTGTCGACGCGACGGGTGACGGTGGCCGGGACACGCAGCCTGGACGTGGCTGCGTCGGGGCGCGAAAGGCGGACGTGGATCCAGTGCCGCTGACAATGAGGGAAACTTGTGTGCAGCCGTGTCTACCGCACAGCTGTGCCCCAAGCTTACCCTACGGCTGGCTGTCAACAATCACAACGACGCGACCCGCGATCTTCCGACGACGCGGAACGGTATTTCACGACGAGTGGTGGCGCGTGGCGCGCGGCCAGAGAGCTCGGGGAAACGCGATGGAGACTAGTAGAACCATCGCCAGATGGCGCTCGGGTAGCGCAGGGCGTTGCACGATGTCGGTATTGTATCCATTCAGCATATCTCGGTCGCAGTTGGAGGACCTCGAGCGACCCAGAGAGAAGCTCGATACATATAATGTAATTTAGTTTCTCAAAAGTCATTGTTCTATTGTCACTAGATGGACCTGCTATTAGCAATCACTATTGTAAATAAAATTAACGTCGTTTTTTTCTAAATTATAATTTAATTTTGCAATATGTAAATCATTGATATGCTACGTGTTTCCTGCAAATACTCTATTATTTCGTGTTATATTTTAATAAATAAATTAGACTTTTATATAACAAGGATTTAGAGAACATTTTGATTATACGAATATATTTTAAATTAGATAAATTTGAATACGTTTCAATTACACATTAATCGTAATCAAAGAGAAGGAATTTTCCAATTAGTCTACATTAATTAATTTTTTTTATTTTGGAAATTTTAGACAATTTTTCAAAATTTTTTAAGTTATGCCCGATTTAAAAATAAAAGAAATTGTTAATTTTTGTTTAACAAAAAATTTATATTTCTTATTTTTATTTATATTTTTATTCCTTATATTTACATTTCCTATTTTACTTATATTTTTTATACTTTATCAAGATTACGGAATTTTTTCTTGAATATGTAAGAAACCTTAATTAAAGAAAGTCACAGAACTCAAGGAATTTTATCATTTTTATCATTTCTATCATTTTATCTTTAAAAATAAGACATAATTAAACTTCACAAGAGTTTTAATCCAATCTTTGAAAATTATAGGCAAACTAGTACTATACAAATATAGAACATTTATATTATTTTTTTTCGATGTGTCCACGATGATAAAAACGTTTGAAAACCTATCAGTAGAATAATCTAAGAAGAGATTGTACGAAGAAAAATGCAATTATTTCCGTTTCTTTCCGTTATCTCTGCAGTAGATTTAATCATCGCTTAAAAGATACATCCGTAACACAATAGAATTGGAAAAGCCGATAGTACCAACCCTTATCTTACAAAACTTGTTTGAAAACTTATCGTATTATCTGCGGTTTCTCTTGCACTCTCCTTTATTATCGAAATGTGAAAGTATCAAACATAGTTACTTGTAGAATATAAATGTATAAAGCAATTTTTTTTTGCTCTCACTTGTCGGCGCAATACAAAAGCCACGCCATTAGCTGTCTCATTTAAAGAAGAATGTTTCCTTGTGAGGATAATACTTCATTTATTTTCTCTATTTTTACAACTTTTAATTTTTTACTATATTATCAAAATGGCATTATCAAATAAAAGTGCAAAATATTTATTAGTTTTGTTCCTTCTTTTATTTTATTAAATTGAACTTTAATTTTAAATTTTAATTTTTCACAAATGTAATTTTTTTAAAACAACAATGAAATCCGATGAGAATCTTGAGAATCGTTTCTTTTTGCATTGGAATGTACATTTAGTCATCTATAATTACGTTCATCAGCGTTTCTTCGAAATAAGATATGATATATCAGAATTTAAAAAATGCATGTCTTAACAGCGTTAATTAAGAAAAGACAGCCGCTCTTTGAAGCTATGTCTCAACTAGGTCATTATACTTAGGAATGCGTCACAAGTGCATCTGATAATTAAACGTAACCCAGTTAATAAATGAGACAATTCTAGATAGTCGGAATAACGGTAAAGAAATATCAATTACTGTGAGACCTTGCAATCTCAAAATCGAATGCTATAAATATAGGTATTAATTTTCATCAAAAATACTTGCATGTAGCCAACATTAATATGATAAATGTGATCCACTTTATCATTTATTCCCTCCAACTTTTTATCATTTTCTCTCATTGTTGGTAACGCCAAATAGATATCGCATATTTTTCACGCTCCGTTTTGCGAATTTTTGCCGCTGCAAAGAAAGCGATAGATATGTCTTGAAAGATCGACATCTGACGTACGTTTCTCAATTTATGAAATTGTGACGCGAACTTTTAAAGGACTCTTCGTGATTGAAAGAAATAGATATCAACCGAGACGTTTATAACATGATTAATTAAACGTCTCGCCAGCGAATATCGACGATAAATCGCATCGCGGGATTGTCATAGCGTGAAGCCATAGGTCATGCTCGGGGACAGAAAGAAGCGATGTGCAATGCATACATTCATGAAATCAGACAAATGCGTATGCAATGCAGCAACAGGCGAGTGTACGCATCGATTTCCAATATGCACCGTATACGCGCTCCTCGCCTCTATAGAGCCCACCACGCCACGATCCTTCGTGCCTTCCTTTCTGGTCATGTTAACCATGCGACCAACATGGCGAAGGGCGTATACGAATTTCCGGCATTTTTCTCCGCTTCATCGTAAGTGAACGTTGCGAGCTGCATTGATCAATATTGACTGCGCGAAAGAATTCGGTATATCGTCAGCGGATAGGTGTATGTATACATGTATAGGAGATAGCATCGATTGAAGTTGAAATCTCTTTTTTTGCGTTGTGTATACTGCGATTTATTACGTCATGCTACGCCCCAGCTTTCGTGAAATTTCTTCTGCAAAAGATAAACATCGAGGAAACATTATTTTCTAATTAGTTTTTTTTTTATATTCTTAGAAAGACTGTATACTTACGATTGATAATTCTTTTTTATAACTTTAGACAAGATATTTATTTAAATTGGTCATATCTCTCGCGCTCTCTCTTAACTAGCAAATTTAATTACATATAAAAATGAATTCAGACCGAGCGAGAGAGCGTGAACAGATACGAATGAATAACTTGCTTCAGTGAATGATGCAGAGAAAATGTGAACTTTATATATGTATATTTCTCATTGAAAATAGTAAGTCTGTTATAATCTATTATAGCCGTCTGTGGACGGTTTTTATACGAATAAATTCTATAAAAATATATCTTAAGTATTTTTATTTTAATTATTTATATTTTAATATTTTGGAATGTACCAACATATTTCTTTATCAAAATTACTTTTTGGCACATTATTTGATCGAAAAACTGAATGTAGTGTACGTCTAGTTGATTAAACTTTCACAGTATTATAAAAATCGGCGGTCTCATTAATTGGAACGTTGATAAAAATAATTTCCTATATTATTAGATATATTTATGCATTAATTACTTTGAAAGTTGGTTCATTGCATCCATTGCAGCGAGCGTTTTTAATGAACGCAGCTTTTTTTGCGAAAATAGCGACGAACGAAAAGAGGATGAACGCGAAAAATAAAAGAGAAGGATATATCAATGACAGCCAGACCAGGCAAACGACGAACCTCCATAGAACTTCATCCGATGAAATAAGGTTTTGCTTGAGAGTGAAGATAGAAAGAAGAAATGCTGCGGAACTCCAACATGTAACATTCAGATACCATAGTCAAAAATAACATTTCGCATAAACCACGAGTCAAACGGAATAACTAAAAATTTTCAAACAAAAAGTGATTAAGTGGAAAATAATTTATAATATTCTTTTTATTTTTCAACAATTTTCAAACGAAATAGAAGTTTAATGATTTGTATAATTAACACTTTCACGTTCATACATACTTAATGATATTATTTTATTTACATATATACTATTGAGTATTATTACCTTTTAATTAAAGAGAGAGAGGGGGGGGGGAACAATATGGTGTGTGCAAAGATACTCAGAGATACTTTCATCACTTTAATGAGGCTGTATAACGAGTAGCTTATCTAAAAGCGTTATTAAAGGATTTCACAGGAAAAACGACCAACCTTCTAAGTGCAATAAGCAACCGCTGTTAGTTATCACTTGAAGCTGTTATTACATGATAACGGTTTACCAAACTCTCATCGTAATATTGTTTATATAAGAAGTACGTAACATTTCTCGTATTGAAGCTGAAATGTAATTAAATAAATAGCTTGATGTAATGTAATTAAATAAAGGTTGCTGCTATGAGTCGCAACCCTTTAATTAGAAATCGAGCATTAATCCCTTTCACATAGATACCACGACCCACAATGCAACGTGGAAATAAAGTAAAATTTATGGCGTAAATTTTGCGCGCTAACACCGTCAGGGATTAAGATCCGGTTTACAGTTTCTTTTAGATATAGAATTAAAACTGGAAGTCATGCGAATTCTCAAAGCGTGTATAAAAATATGCAGCCTCTTGCCCATCGAGATAGAAACGAAGTAAAACGAAGCCGAGGAACGTATTGAAAAGAGCAACATTTTTCTCAATGCAAATTCTTTCGTGGATTTTTATTCTATTTGTGCCACAATCGCATTCACAACGAATTCACCGTGCACTCTATGCGTTTTGCAAGTCCAAAAAATTTCGTTTGTCGGTCAGTGAACGCGAGGTCAAAGAGATTTTTCAATAAACGGATAAAGACGGAACGTTCAATTTCTCAATTGTTAAAAGTGTTTAATTAAGTTTCCTTTTAGCTTTTAATTCTAGAATGATTGTAAAATTTTTAAATAATCAATTAAATTCGATTACATTTAACTATATATAATATTTTAATTTTATAAGATGGCTTGTGTTGATACATTTATTAGCAAGCCATTTAGTCATATCTTATCTTC